ATGGCAGTTTAAGGTCTGTCTCTCCCCACACCTCATTTCCTTTCACCATCTATGAATTTCTGTCCTCTCAGATAAAGCAAGGCAAACTTTACAGAACTGTGCTATAAATTACATAAGTGGAGCAATTTGAGTTATACTGTAAAATAAGTTTTCTTGCTTAAAAAGAAACAAAAACCCTGTATGGATTAGTTCAGATTTACAGCACAGCCTAACACTTGTGGCAACAGAAGAGTGATGAACTCCAACAGTTGCTTCCTTAAAATCCAGTTTAAAATGGATTGATGCTGTGACATGAAAGAAAATATCATTGCAAAAGGAGAAGAATGAAAAGCCAGGGAAGAGAATACCAGCACTCAACTCCATTTTTCTTCCTCAGTAAAATTAAAGATTTGAAAGAAATGCAATTATTTTAACAACTCAGAACTTCTGCACTATTTGCTAAAAAGATCCCTACCTTTAGGCAGAGAAGATAATTTCCAAAACAGCACAAACATACAAAAAAAACCCCCACAAACTCAAACTAGAGTTACCTCCATCAAAACTTAAGAAGAAACTAAAGCTTTGTTGCACAGCAGATCCATGACAAAAGAGATGCATCCAGACAGAAGCACCCTTCTTGTGAAAACACCCACCTCATGATGGCCATAAAGATATGGCCAAAAGAGGGCTGAAACAACAGGAAGGTACTGACAAGTAACAGCAATACCAGACAGGAGACAGAAATCCCACCTCAGTATTCATCCCTTCCTTTACAGGTTTTAATCTTATATAGGATAGTACACTTTGGCTAAACAATTCAAAGAAATCTTAGGAAGATCTGTTCATGATAACTGACAACAGGTAAACAAGAGTGCTTTAAGACAACTAAGACGTAGCCAACATTGCACAAGCTTTCCTCTATAAGCTCAAGGTTCAAGATGGTGGTAGTAAAGAGACAACAAGCTCAAATAAATGACAGCTTAGTGATCCTAAATAAGTACAGGATTGCACGAGCCCCTAAAGAAAAAAAGATGATAACATCCTGGTAACACCAAGGAGAAACAACCGGTAACGCTGAAAAGGAAGAACAAGTAAACAAGAATTCTAGTTGGGAAGATAAAGAAATAGCGGAGATCATAGAAGATGCTACACCAGGGGAAGTGAAAGAACTTTGTGCAACAACGGAATACCAAAGTGAAAATAAGGAATAAATTGACAAGAAGTACTCCAGTTCTAATTGCCTCAGCAGGCAAAACAGCAGTGGGGCAACAGAAAGATTAGCTCAACTGGAAGAAAGTCTGGTATGGTTGCATCAAGTTTAATTTAACATGACTCAACAGATACAGCTGATAAATTTGGTAAAATAAGAAGAAAAAGGGGAGAAAGGCTGGAGGGATAACCACAGACAGAAGTAGTGGCAAATAAACAATAATCAGAGAGTAGAAGGCAGTGCTATCCCTGTAGAGATCGCTCACTTAGGAGCTGGATTCAATGATACTTGGGGGTTCCTTCCAACTCAGAAAATTCTGTGGCACTGCAGACATCCAGGGAGAATAAGACATCATGTGCTAGAGGATTACATGTGCTATTGAAAGCAACAGAGACCAAGTAGGTTGAGAAAGACATGGAATCCTTGCACCTTGGGCACAAGAAGCCTTTAGAGATATAAACTGAAGACAATTTCAGCATAATACAGAATCTGGACTGGAATTGATTTAATATGAAGGGGAAAGAGTGTGTGACAACAAACATACATTGCTATGTTCAGGAATTTGGAAAAGAAGGGAGATAGACTGGAGTGCTGTTATTTTTAAGGATGGAGAATAGCAACTCAGAATAAAATTAGGAAGGGAAGAAGATGGCAGCAGGATGTAAAAACCTGAAATTTGAAATTAAAAGAGAAAAACTGAATGAATGGGGCTTTGGGTAGTTAAAAAGGCAGAAAAAGCAGAAAACAAACATGAGACTACATCTCTGTAAGTAGCAATCAATAGTGCTGAATAAAGGTAAACATGTCAATTCTAATCGGTTTTTCTCTGGAAACCTTTAGATTCTGCTGGGGAAGAGGCATAGAAAAAGACCTAAGATAGAGAGCTGGCAAAGCAAAGGAACTGGGAAACATATATGGGGGGAAAATGGCTAATTGATTATTAAATAAAAGCTACGAATAAAACAACAAAGAAATCTATCCAGTTCAACACTCAGTCACAGGTAAATGAATTATCAGAAATGAGAGGAGAAGGTGGTAGTCTTGAGAAAGGGACTTGGAGATGCAGTAATCAGATAAGATGGTAGGCAGAATCAAAACAGAAGTGATAATTTCTGTCAGAAACAGAAACGGGGATTGGCAGATGAAAATCAAAAAGGCCAGAACGCTGAAAAATAAACTTAATGAGAAATCTACTTGAAAAACAAAGTCATAAGGAATGAAGGCGTTCATGATAAGAGGAGAGATTATGTCAAAGACCAATATGAAACCACAAAGGGAGAAGCAAAAAGTAGGTGAGGAAATGTGAAGGAATGTCTGATGGAACCCTGCCCAGGAAAAATGTAAGAGGAGGAAATGCAAAGACCATGGTAGATGAGGAGCACAGCTTTTTTTTCATGATAAAAGGGATGATAGGACAGATATTAGGACCTTATGTAGTGCTGTATGATATACAGCAAGGTTTCTGTAATCCATATACCAGACAAAACTGCTGATAAAATATTCAGCAACTAGTCTTTGATTTGGATTTCCTGAGGAGACACACCTTTACTTACAGTTAGGAAATTAAATAAACTGTCATTCTTTATACTTCCCTCATATGTATATGGGGTACAAAGCTCAATTGTTGTACTGTATCTTGCCATACATAAGGAAGGCAAATGAAAAGTTTACTCTGAACATCATACAACCTAGCAGCAGAACACAGCAGAAATTTAACTAAAACCTAAAATCAGTCAGCTGAAACCCATAAACAGGCTGGATATGCAGACCAATTCACCTCTAACATTACCCACAAATACGGCTGCATTTTCCTTTAAGAAAAGAACGGTGAACTGCAATTCAAATTCATACAGAAGAGCTAGAAAGGGCCTAGAAAACACTCCAAAAAAAGCCACTTGCATAGAAATCACAGAAAATAAGGTTGGAAAAGACTTGAAAACATTACTTCAAAACATCATCTTCACTCTCAGTGCTCCAAGTCTGTATCAGCTTTCCTTATGCCACTCCTGACGGATGTTTATCTAACATGCTTTGGTGGTTTTTTAGCAAACCTCAAGCAATACAGACTTCACAATATCCTCTGGTAGTTACTGCAGTGACTGAACAATTTCAAAATCTGCCCCTAACATTTAGCATATATGTTAGTCTCTTAATTCAAACCATTTGTTCATGTACCATAAGGCTGATTGCCTTCCTCTTTGCAGCATATTTGCTATACAGAAAGGATGTTTCCTATTGCAACTGGACAGCTCTCCGCAGTGTTCTGCATTGGAAGGACAGAGCTCTTATATAAAAATAAAAGTATGCCTGAACGGATAAGCTACAAAAACTCATCTCTGTGATGAGTCATCTGGGACAGCAGAAACGGACTTTCTCACATAAGCAGTCTGCTGGAAGCACGATTCAGCCACTGCAAGTGATACAGCCAAAGGAAACTAACATTTACAAGCGAGCAAAGCACAGCCAAGGCATCAGTCGTGATCGTTTGTACTACAGCCTTCAGAAAAGAGCCACGCAAAAAACCAGCATAGCTTTGGCTGTGTTGTTCAAAGGCAAAGTTAAAATGGGAAGCAGAGCCGCAAACTGGAGCATTGGGTGGAGCTCCCGATTGTGCCTTGCCTGGCAGCACCACTCTGGGGGGAAAAAAGGAGTCAGTACGGGCAAAACAGAGAGAAGGGGGAGGGGGAAGAAAGCAAAACCGACCTCGGAAACAAGAGATGTGCACGGGACCAATCAAACACAGGGAAATGGATGTAGGGAGGCACCTGAAGCCTTGGCCATAGAGTGAGGAAGGAGGCTGGGATTAGGACTGCCTCCCTTTCCAGAGGCAGTGGACTTGAGGGCTGCCCTGGGCCTGATGACTTTTCTCCCACGGAATAGCTTCTCTCTGTTGGGTGAGGAAGTAGGGACCTCAGAGAACATGCTGCAGGGAAGGGCAGGGAGTGCAGGGCTATCTAGGGAGAGGTACTGAGGTCGGGGGGAGCTGGGGTGGGGATCACAGCAAAGTGGTGCAAGGCACTACAAGGATGGCAGGTGAGAACTGGGAGGTCTGCAGCTGCAGCCATGGCAGGGAAGTGGAGCAGGGAATGCCACAGATTGCAAGGCCAAAGAAAGGCTGGGGAAGAAGGGGCAAGGTGAAAATTACCCACAGGAGAAGGAACACACAGAACAGTACGCAGAGGATGGAAGCGCGTAGCATGGTAAGGAGCAAGGCTATGGTGGGGGGTGAACAGCCATGAGCGGGAAAAGCACAGCTACAGAGGGAGCAAAAAGGTGCACAGTTCATGTGCATGAAGGCTTTGGGCGAGTGGATGTATGGGGGAGGTACCCAGACACGAAACAGCAAGGCTACGAGAGGCGAAAGCAAGGTGGTCGCAGTCACGGGAGGGCAGAGCTGTTGGTGAAGGAGCGTGAAGTGGGGAGGGAAAGCAATGGGTTCCCAGCCACGACAGAGTGTGGTTACAGACTGGGACGCAGGAGAGTGCGCAGCCACGGGAGAACGGCGCTACAGGTGTAGCGAGGGGGATGCACTGCCACAGGAAAGCGGGGCTCCGTGGTGGGAGGCAGCTAAGGGGTGCTTGGCATGAGGCAAGCGGGGCTGAGAGGGGCACAAGGGGATGCACGGCCGCCAGAGAGCGCGACTGCGCAGGGGACAAGCGGCTGCGCAGCCACAGGACAGCGACGTGGGCAGACCCGGGGCCAGCGGGAGGCACAGCCGCGGGGCGGGCAGCGCGGCCAGGGGCAGGTGTGCCAGGGCCCCGCAGCGGAGGGCGGTGGGGTCGGAGAAGGGAGGGGGACACGGGCCACTCACCTGCGCGGCAGAGCTGCAGCAGCCCATGGCGTCCGCTGGTCTCTGCCCCGTGGGTGCCTGCTAGGCATCCACTCTCCGCGACTCCCCCGCCCCGGGCGGCGGCGCGGCGCGGGGGGGACGGAGGGCGGCACGGAGGAAGCGTCGGGGACCGCGGGGCCCGGTCAGACGAGCGCGGCTGCACCACAAACGCCGCCGCGGCGCCCCCTCATCCTCCTCCCCCCAGCAGACGCGCGGGGAGGGCGGGGCCTGGCGGGGGCGGGGCCTGGTGGGGGCGGGGCCAGAGCACTGCGGCGAGGGGGGTCCCTGCCCGGCGGGCGGTCCCGCCCCCGTGCCGCCGCCGCTTCCGGTGTGGTGATGGCGGCGGGGTGCCTCCCCTGAGGAGGCGGCCGGGCTCAGGGCTCGTCTTTCGCTCATCACTCGCCCCGCGGCAAGGTGCGCGCCGCGGTGGGGACAGCTGCGTGTGGAAACCAAGCTCTGATCAGCGGGGCTGCCCAAGACTCTGAGAGCCCGCCCGCTGAGAGGAAAAAAAGACCTGATCGTATGGGCTGGTAGTACATATGCATTTGCAGGCAAGAATCTGTAGTAGAATTAAGCACCATTTCTGCACTTCTTTTAACGCTTCGAAGGATAGTGATTCTCCAGTGCCCTCCTCTGGACACATTCCAGCACCTCAGTGTCAGTGTCCTAGTGTCTTGCAGGGCCTGGAGCTGGACACAGAACTTGAGGTGTAGCCTCACCAGTGGATCGAGGATCCTGCTGGCCGCACCATTGCTGATGCAGGCCAGGATGCCATTGGCCTTCACGTCCACCTGGGTATGCTGCTGAATGATGTTCAGGCCCTGTTCATGTTCAACATTTCTCGGCCCTCTTCCACCATGCAGCTTTCAGCCACTTTTACCCCAGCCAGTGGCACTGCCTGGGATTATTGTGATCCAAGGGCAGGACCTGGCACCTTGTTGAAGCTCTTACCATTGGCCTTGGACCACCAATCCAGCGTGTCCAGATCCTTCTGCAGAACCAGCCTACCCTCAGCGTGTCAGTATTCCCACACAATTTGGTGTCATCTGCAGAGTGACTAAAGGGGCACTTGATCCCCTCGTCCATGTATATTGATATATAATATATTACACAGGCCCCAGTACTGAGCCCAGGAAGGCCAGTGACCTGTTGCCAACTGAATGTGGCATCATTCACCACCACTCTTTGGGCTCAGCCTTCCAGACAATTTTTTATCCAGCAAACAACACACACATCCAAGCCATGAGCAGCCGGGTTCCCTAGGAGAATACTATGGGAGAGAGAGTCAAAGGCTTTGCTCTGGTCCAGATAGACAACACCCACAGCCTTTCCCTTGTGCACTAAGGAAATCACTTTGTCAATGAAGAAGGAGATCATATTGCTCAATGAGGATCTGACTTTCCTAACCCCATGCTGGCTGGGCCTGACTGCCTGATTGTCCAGCCCATTCTGTGATCAAGAATGTCCAGAACTCATGGTCTGTTCCACAATCTTCCCGGGCACTGAGGTCATGCTGACATGACCTGTAGTTTCCCAGATCCTCCATCCTGTCCTTCTTGTAGTTGAGTGTCACATTGGCTACCCTCAGTCCCTTTTAAGGTATGTTTACTGGTCCAGCAGTTGTGTTTGAGCACAACCTAAACATAGGAAGCTATACTCTGTATAAAGTTTGGGGTTTTTTGCTGAATCTTAACTCAGTAGCAGAATTATCTACTATTCTATTAATATAGTAGAATATCCATGATTAGAAATAGTGTTGCAATGACTTAAATATAAAATTATCCTTTTACAGGCAGAATGAGGCAAAAGAGACCTTGTGACTAGAAAAGGAGTTTTGTTAGGCTTCCAGGAAAACTGAGAAACTGACATGTGGGTGAGTTGTGAATCACACTGGGGTTTTTTTAGCTCTTGTCAGTTTAATGGCAAGTAGAATCATGGAATCATTTTCGTTGGAAAAGACCTCTAAGATCATTGAGTCCAACCACAACCTGGCACTGCCAAGTCCACTGCTAAACCATGTCCCTTAATGCCACACCTTCATATCCTTTAAATACCTCCAAGGTTGGTGACTCATCAGTAACATCACAATTTTCTGATTTTGTAGTATCTGGTTAAAATAGTGTCTTACCTTTTTGCATGTATATTGCTATTATTTTCATTGTTCCACCTTGTTCTATCCAGATATTTATCTGGTGTTCAAAGATGTGGCCATGAAAGAAATGTTTTGCAGGAACACTCTCTAGCAGGAATGATTGTTTTGTGACTGACACAGTAATTGATAACAAAAATTTGTAGCCAATTCTTGTGTAATTTTGGAGCCATCAGAATCTCTGTTCCTCCATTTTGATTTTTATAAAATTGACTTTTGTCTCAGTGTTTCTCTTTTCTGTTTGTTTGGGTGTCAGAAGAATTATGTCTGTGCCGTAGATGTTATTTAGCCAGTCTCTTAAACAGGCCAAATAAATTTTTTTTAAATAGTCTACTCATTTAGGACATTTGCTTCAATAGTTTCATTTAGGACCTCAAAGCGTTGTCATAGAAATTAAATTCTGCCTCCTACTTTTTTGCATGCAGACTAAATATATTCAGCATGATTATCAGAAGAGAGTAATGCATTAAAAACACATGACATTAAAAATGTCTGCCCCCCAAATTTGTGGACTCTTAAAACCCTATATTCTAGCCAATAATGAAGAGCTTTGTGCAGCTGCAGAGAGGCAATAATAACTTGATAGTGATTAAAAAATTAAAAAATGAGTTGACAAGGGGAGCCTTTATGAAAAATCTTGTAAACATACCAGCTGTAGTGTAGGTAACTGGGATTTAGTGCAGATATATGACAACTGTAGAAATTATTTGAACAGATATGAGTGTTAGAAATAATCTCAGAATCTCTGCCTCTGGACTAAGGAGATTAATTATGTTTTTGGTAGGGATGCAGTAATAGCAGCAGCAACAGTTGCCTGACTGTCGCTAGTTTTACTGTACTTTGTCTGGTCAGTCACACAAAGGAGAGGAAAAGTTAAAAGATTCTGGTTTATTCATAATTATATGAGCTTTTATATTTATTTGGATTAGCATTTCATGAAGGAACTGAACTGAGGCTTGCTGAATCTTAGTTCAGTATTACAGAAGTTGAACTTCAAGTGTATGTCTAAGTGCATTTTTTTAATTGGGCTTTTTGGATACCTTACTGAATCTGAATGTAATAGGCTCTAAGGCATGGTTACGTCACAAGCTGCTAAAGAGCAAATCTGACTGCCCCAATTTACTGTTAATAGGAATCTACCTGTTTTTCCATAACAGATTGGCGTCCACCCTTCTGCTCTCTCCAAGAGCTTTTACCTGTATTTTCATTTCATTGCTAGGCTCAAAATGATAGGTAAGAGTTTTTTAAGCACCATCTAATACTGAGAGAGACAATGACAGAAAGAAGGCCCTAGAATGACAGAAATGCCATTAGTGCTTTAGAAAATTGTAGGTTATGTCCCAACTGCTTCTATTCTGAGAAGGAAGCATTAATTATATGGTAATATTTACCTTTTCATTTCTCAGCAGGTGCAGAATCTTGACCTTACTCAGCCATATTTTAAAACCTAGGGATTTTACAAAGTACAATATAATCTATATCTTTTGTTCCATATTTATTAGAGAAATACCTTTAAAATTGTATTAGATAAATATGAATTTGTGTGTTCTTAAGTGTGAATTTTGAGAAGGAATTTTTGAACAGGCTCAGTTCTCAAAATTCTCAATCAAGACATAGGCAAAACTTGGCCTTGCCATTAATGAACTAGGGAGCAATGCATTGTGCAGACTAAAATCTGAATATTGCACCCGCAATGTGTTGTTGCAGTCTGTGTGTGCAACAGACAGTTCTTCTAATTGGCAAACTGTACTTATTATCATTCTGCTGACTTCTTCCACCTACCAATAAACCTGCATCTATATGTGCTTGGCAACCACTATGAATTTTTAATAATCCCATCCAGTGTGCTTAGCCTCCCTATTCCTGAGGTTGTTTTTATTTGCTTTTGGCCTTTTTGGTTGTTTTGGTTTTATGGTTTTTAAAATGTATTTAAATACAGAACCACATGTATTCTCTCCACAATATGCCCAGTGAATGGGTTTAGCTGTCATACACATGTGTCGATGCAGGATTAGGGGTGATTCTGCTGATTTCACCAGAATACTAATGGAAGCGCATCAGGAGAAGGAATTGCAACAAACACATGGCAAGTAGGCTGTCAGCCTGTCTATGAGCAGGGGATAAAGCCCACTGACTTATTCAGACCCCTGTGGTCCTACATATCTCAGAACTCATGTGAAACTGATCATCTTTCTGAAAAGTTAAACCATGCCATTGCACATTTTTAAGTGCTGTGGAACTACAGCATTGAGGCTTCTGTCAAATCACACAGGACACCAGTAACAAAACTCCAGCTTCTATACTGAAAATCCTGTCAGTTGTGAATTTTTGTCAGTCAAAATAAAAACATTCAAGGCATTCTTCTTTTAATTAGAATAGTAGGATTCTTGCAGTCTTTTTGATTGCTAACTAAGAAAAGATGAACAATGCTCAGTAAGACTGAGTTCTTACCAGTTAAGGCTAAGATTTTCTTCTTGCTGCGTGTCTGACCACAGAAGAAGAGGTCAATTCAGTAAACTCTCTGAAAAAATCAGAAAACCCATTGTGATTCTACTTTTTACTGGAGCCCCATAAATGAGTCATATCAGGTCTGTTTCAATTTAAAACTAGAGACTCCAAGGAGAGAGAAAGAGCATAGGGCTTTTTGAACAAATCAGGAAGGTGAAATTTTCTTTCTCCACTCCTGAAACAAAATTTTGGTCCATTATACTCTTAGAGATGTAACTTTCTGGTGAGAGGATAGAGGTGTATAGTGGAGATCCTGTCCATAGGAGGCTATCAAAAATATTCAGGACTCATTAGAAGATTATAATTATTGTGTGTTAGGAAAATGGCTTTTTAAACATTTAGTTTAAGTCCTGCTTTGTATCTGTGGTAGTACATTCATGTTGTAATGAAAGTAAAATGGATATTCTTTTAATATTAGAGCATGGAGGTTT